TGTGTGTGTGTGTGTGTGTGTGTGTGTGTGTGTGTGTGTGGGGCATGATGGATGGTAGGAGCGTATCACAATGCCCCCCCCTTCCCTTCCCCGTCCAGGGCGGATTGATGGCAGGGAAGATCGTGTACCTTTCGCTCATAAAGCACTACCTCTCAGATACTCATTGATCTCAATGCAGTGTGATGGAGAGCCAGATCAATGGGTTTATTTTGGGAAACGAGTAGGGGGGGATTGTCAGTGCATCATGCCGGGATTCTGTTGAGCTATGCCAAGCTGAGGACATCTCCTTTCTAAAAACCCCTTCAAGCTGAAAGAGATTAGCGAGGCTGTGTTAGCCTCAGATGACTATGACTAAGGGGGTTGGCACTAAATGTAACAGCTGTTCTGACATTCAGAGTCTACTTTCCTCCGTGGTGTGTATATATGTGAGGACGCTTTAAAATACGCTTTGAAAACCTAATACTGTGATTTTTAGCTGCAAAAATTAACACATATGAATATTTAATCAGTTAATTCTTTCAATTTTGAATGCCGTAGCTGTGTTAATCAGTTAAAGCTCTAACTCGGCTTTTCTGTTAACATAGTCACGATGGTGCAGTGAAATTAAATCACTTAACGATTGGGATGGGATGAATTTGCTCAGCGAGCACCAGTTTAATCACTTTACTTGTACTAGACAAAAGGATTGTGAATGGATTCTTGTTCATATTGTGTGTCTTCACTGACCCTTTCTCTCTCCTCTGTGCGTCCTCTCAGACTCTGTGTCGACGGGCTCGGTGTTTGGCCGCAGCACCACCTTAAACATGCAGACATCGCAGCTTAGCACGCCGCAGGACACTTCCTGCACCCACATCCTGGTCTTCCCCACCTCTGCCATCGTCCAGGTCGCCAGCTGCAATTACACCAGCATCGACACCAACATCGACATTCTCAATCCCACCACTGGTCAGTCGTTCTCCTTCATCTGTCTTTCACTCAGCAGCGGTTTCTTGTTTGTCTCACAGCAACCCCCCCGTTCAGTGCAGTTTGTTTCCAAATCCTCCCTGTTTACTTTTCTAGTCTGTTAAGAATGAATAGTAGTCATGGTTGCATACATGCTTTCTGCATCTATGGCACCCTCAGGGGTCTTCAGCTCATTTCTTTTGTGAAAAATACATTTGTTGGCAGAAAAAGAAGCTATATTTACAGTCACAATTTGCATTACAGTAAGTGGCACACTCACCCTCCAATCGCAGATCCTATTGAGCTGTTCTCTTCTCCACAGATGGCTCTGATGCTATCGAGATCTTGGCCCTGCTCGACCAGGAGAACGATTTAGTGGATCCAGACATCATCAACATCTCACCTACCACCTCCCCGGTGCACTCCCCTGGCTCTCATTACCACCACGGAGGTGATGGCAGCAAGGTACAACATGTACATAACACACACACACAAGCTGTGCAACATGACGCTTAGAAAGCAAAAAGTTTATCTCGAGTTTCCACCTCGTTGCAGGGTCAGAGTACCGATCGTATGGAGTCCCATGAAGAAGTTCCTAACCTCCTGCAGCAGCCTCTGGCACTCGGCTACTTCGTCTCCACGGCCAAAGCCGGCCCACTACCCGACTGGTTCTGGTCAGCCTGTCCGCAGGCTCAGAACCAGTGCCCACTCTTTCTCAAGGTACTACTTAAGGATACGCTCGCATCTTTACTGGGGCTGTTCAATATGATGATATATATCTGATGACGATATGAAAACATTGTTTCATATCACGCTATCGTTTGTTTCGTGGTGTCACAAAATAAACTATTTATGGCAACATTTTATTTTTATTTATTTTATTTTGAAGCAGACATATTAATTTTTCTCTTATTTTTAAAATAACCACACTACGGACGGACGAGTCACTGTTTTTACGTGTTGTCATTAGCAACAACGACGGTAAACCCAGCGTCTGCTTGTTTATTTTCCACATAAACCTTTCACAATAAAGCTGAAGATCCTGTTGAGATTTTTCAAAATAAACTAAAATGATGACAAACAGAAGGACCAGTCAAAACAAATCCAGGACCTTATTCCTAAAGGAGGGGCTGCCTCTGTATCACGGACATGGGTTGGTTATGAAAAGTCTGAAACGAACCAGAAAACTGTAATTATGCAGGAAGCCGGCCCCCACCTCAGACTCCACACGACAAACGTCTTCTACCACCTACGCAGCGATCACGTGAAAGAGTGTGGAGAGAGTTTACAGACGAGAAGCAAAAAAGAGCCGTCAGGTGCTCCAAATAAACCTCAGACTCAAACGTTAGAGCACGCTTTTCCCTGCAGCACGCCACCTAATAAATACAAAGAATACAGCGACCTTACAACTTATGTCTAAAATTCATCGTTTCATGCATCTGTCAAAACACTCGACTCCAGGTGCACGACACCCAGCTGGAAACTCTTCACGCAAGTCGAGCTGCCCGAGATTCACAGAATTTTCAGAAAGTAACATTTTTGTGATTTGTATCGTTGTCGGGACGATAGATGTCTTATATCGGGATATGAGATGTTGGTCATATCGCACAGCCCTACTAGTGAATTTAAGGAGCCGTCCTGAACATTATCACTCAAAGCCTGTGTGGGTTGCAACCCTGACCTTTTTTCTTACCTGTCGGGTGTTCTACTAAAATGCACTGACACTTTTTTACGACAGAGCTCTGCGTGGCCGTTATAAAGTGCTGGTTGTTAATCCCGGGCTCAGCTGATAGCTCTGACCGCTCTGGCATAGACTTGGTTCACCACCCCAATAAACCACAGCTATGTCGGAAATGCAGTAAATTTGTAAGGCTGGTGAAGAATGTTGCTGCTTGAGCAAGTGTGTTGAAGCCTTGTGCGTAATTGCACACAATCAAAGTGTGTTGTACTTATAATAAGGTCGTTTTGATTTGTTTGCCTTTTTATCCATTGCTTCTGGAATTGGCTGCAGACTCACTGCTGCTACCCTTCTGCTGTGAAAAGAGCTGTCATTATTTAAATGACGTGTAATGAAAGGTTGATAACTTCATTATAATGCCTCTGACGCCACCTCTTCCCCCCCGTGCTTCCTCTCAGGCCTCTTTGCACCTCCATGTGTCTTCAGTGCAATCAGATGAACTGCTGCACAGCAAACACTCCCACCCCCTCGACTCCAATCAGACCTCAGATGTACTCAGGTAAACAACACCAGCACACACTCTGCATCAGGTCGAGTGCACAAATTACTATTACCACCCTGCTGACTGTGTTTCCAGGGTGAGTTTTCTATTTGTAGCCGATTTCAGACTGACGCTGGTTTGTGCACAATGCTGGTAAAAGTTGCCGCGTGTTTTAATGTTCATCGATTGAATGTTGAAGCGGTGAAAACTGAAGCGTAACCGTTTTGTATGCCTGTGTTCCTCGGCAGATTTGTGCTGGAGCAGTACAACGCCCTCTCCTGGCTGACATGTGACCCGGCTACGCAAGACCGACGATCGTGTCTACCAATTCACTTTGTGGTGCTCAACCAGATGTACAACTTCATCATGAACATGTTGTAAACATCGGGCTGTTACAGGAAGAAGGCGGCGGGGGGTCATAATGAGTGAAAACCAGTGTACGGAGCTGGATCCTGCACCAAGATGGGATCAGATGGTTTTCCAAGCCTAGCCAGTCCTTCTCCACCACGCCGCCCTCCCCCCCCCCTCCCCCTCCCCCGTGAGACTGGATATTCTGTCCCTGTGATTTAAAGACATGCACGTAGAGACAAGGGAATAAAAAAGAGGGGAAACTAGAAGCTGAATTGCATTCAATGAACGTGAAAGAATGACAGATTGGTTGTCATGATATGTAGCATGGCAGCACAGTCACTGGCCAGTCTGTATCGATGAGACAAGTTTATCTGTAAAATTATTGGAAGAAAAGGGACATATTTGATCAAGGAAAAAACCCAAGAATGGATCTTTGGTTTTAAGACATGAAATTCCTTTTTATTCCTTTGGATGTAATTGTATCCAAACAAAATGCCTGCATTTATCTTATTTATTGTAAGTTTTTAAATGTATAATTTGTCTTATTTCTTAACCTCTTTTATATATAAAAAATGGAGAAGGTTTATATCACCTTCCTGCTTTAAAGCAATTGGTCTAAGATATATGTAATCGTCTTAATAAAAACACCAGAGGAAAAAATCCCATAAAAATGAAAGTCCCAGTAGGTTGCTTTTAGAGTATTATTTTTTGTAATGGAGACAGAATATTTGTATTGTCACAATGTACAGAAGAATTAGAGTGGAGAATTATGTTTCATGCCTTTGAGCGTGAAGACCTTACAGCAAAGCTGTAGCTACAGAGGACTTGTACAGCAATGAACTTCACTGTGTTCAAATAAAGAGGTACATTGTTGTATATAGTATTTTATACCACACATTTAGACACAAAAACCAAACGGCAATATATATAAAATAATTCTATATGAATGCCATGCCAGCAGTCGGTGGTGTGGCTTCTGTTTTAGGAATAAAGTGCGTCAACTTATTTTCCTGTGCTTGTGTTTATTGCCTGGGGGAGGGGGGCTGTGATGTGCAATTGGACAAGGACACCAATAGTGCAGCGGAGTGACAACTATTGGCATCTCTTGGAAGTAGCTGACCTCAGGTTTAATCTTATTTCTTTTTTTAATCCGTTTATTTTTCTTCGAGAAGAAAATGAAAGCAAGACCGTGAGAAGAGACATGCAGTGTCCTTTTCAGCACATCCCTTTATTGTAGCGCGTCTCTCCGTACTCCCATTGGCTGAGGTCTGCCTCCTGGCACCACTTCTGATTGGTTATGGACACATTTAGACCAGTCCCATTTCAGTGTGAAAGTAAATGTGTGGTGTAAATGAACCTGTTATGGATGGCTGCCCGTTGGACATGCAGTGTTTGTGCAAAGAGAAATATGTTCTGTCTGGATGTTTCCTCCATCTACTGATGTTGCTCTTTATCTTTCATATTAGCCAGCGTCTGTTGGCTTGGAAAATTTGACCATTAAAATGTATTTGGTCTTATTTTGAGTGTAGATAAATACATTCAATATTTAATAAACCTATGAAAGTTTATTTTGCCATGTTTTCTTTTTTGGAAAATCATGGTTGTTTGCAGTAACCATCTGCGTCTAATATACAATATCTCTGCAAGCTTGTTACCACACTATTCACATGTGGGAAAAGGCATTGGAATAACCACGCAGAGCCATTTGAGTGGGATATCTTGCTTGTAAATGGCTGAGTTGCCCCTGGGTGGCATGTAGTAGCAGCTGGCAGTTCATTCTTTTGATAATTTTCTGCATTTCTTCTCGCTGTCAGCGACAGGGGGATAAACGGGTCCTGCTCTCTGTTTTCCTTCCTCACCAACTGCTGTCTGTATATTCTTCAAAATGTGGAATTTATACTGACACCAGAAACTGTTTGGGTAAGTACAAATCAAGATTAAATGGAGTTAGAAATGGGCAGGAATCTAAAAGCCCTAATATCTCATCATAAGCGATATTTGCAAAACAGTGTAATCAAAATATTACATATTATTATTTTTTAACATTTCCACCAGTCTGGCATAAGCTAGAATAAACCGTTTCCATTGTTGTCTGTCCGTTATAACATAGTCAAACTATAGAAAATCAAAGCGTGTGTAATTTAGCTGTAACTATGAAAGAATAGCATCCCCATCATATACACGCGCCTAGGATCAGAGAGCTCGCAGCACGCGCAGGCTGGAGTAGTCTTTGTTCGGTCATTGCTGCTTCACGGCACCGACGACATTAGTGCTTTTGCTTTCACAGTACCCACGGTGTTCCCTGTGGGTAACGATGAGATTTAGGGTATCTATAATGGAGTGAAAGTGCCAAACAACGGCAAAGACGTTTCCACAAACGTGCCGGCACAATCCAGGACAAGTTCCTCTCCCCGATCGTGCGACCGCGGGGGCTGACGGTACAGTCTGACGTCTGAAGGCCTCCGCGGCGATAACTGTTTAAAACAGTACGTGTCATCTTAATGAGCCAGGTAAGGGCGTTCTTGTGAATTCGTGTATTTATGTTACACTTACTTTATAGCTTAGACGGACCCGTCAACTCAAGGTTGTCTTGTGACAAACTAGCCTAGCTTTTAGCTTTTAGCTTGCTAGTAGTATGCTAAAAGTCTTTCCAGAAGCGAACTGAAGGAGTGTTAGCTACTGCTAGCTCATATGTAGCCGTAAAAAAACCCAGCTAAGAGTTCGAGCGATTTTAGCCGAATTGCTGGTGCTTTAAAAGGCATATATTAAAGATTTCTGAAGGTGAATCCAGTAAACACTAGTTCATGTATTACTCCAGCAGTTGTTAGCATTTGCTTCAGTTAGTGGTTATAGACGGCTGTTATCTTGTTTCTTTAGTGGCGTGTAACAGCGTTTCTGTTTGTAGTGACTAAACCTATGAACAAGTAATCAAACAAAATCATTACCATCAGCGTACAAGTTACTCTCGCGTTAAAAATGTATATCGAGGAATGAATGGTCACATTATGACAACCGTTAGCTCTGCAACTTAAAGTGTATGTACTGTTGAAAACAGACTAGCAGACTGTAGAAAAAAATGCATCCAGTTTTCCTCTTTAAACCGTCAGTTTTGTCTGTTTCCCCCAAGGTGTATGCACGGAGCGATGGGAGACAGTGCAGGGCTGCAGTTTGTCAGCTCCTATGCTTTTGAAGCCATGCAGAAGGTGGATGTAGTGCGCCTGGCTGCGTTAAGTGATCCGGAGCTGAGGCTGCTGCTGCCCTGCTTGGTGAGGATGGCGTTATGTGCCCCCGCTGATCAGAGCGAGTCCTGGGCACAGGACAAGAAGCTTATCCTCCGCCTGCTCTCTGGGGTTGAAGCCGTCAACTCCATTGTAGCACTTTTGTCTGTTGACTTTCATGCCTTGGAGCAGGACGCACGGAAGGAGCAGCAGCTTAGGTATGACTTATTTTCACATGGTAACACTATATACTGGCACAGTAGTGGGTTACAGGGTGGGAAAAGCTGCTTATCGGGTCATACATATACAGCTATATTTGTTACTGTGTTTTAAAAAACAAAAAAGCCTACTTGGAGTTCATTTTAGCAGTATACATAATGTACCGTCTCCTCTGCTAGGCACAAGGCAGGTGGCTCTAATGCAGAAAGCATCCTGGTGTCACAGCTGCAGCACGGCCTAACTCTGGAGTTTGAACACAGTGATCCCCTCAGGAGACTCCGTCTGACCCTCAGTGAGCTCCTGGCTATCATGAACAAGGTACAGTCAAAGCTCCCCTTATAATTCGGTAGATCTCTGGACACTGACGATGACGATAACTGAGCATCCGCGTTGTAGAAATGTGGAACAAACATGTCACGTATACCTGGGACAGCTGTGTATATGTAAAGAAATGGAAGTATGAATCATTAATGAGTGTCACCTGTGGACTACAGAAACAAGATTGTGCTGCTTTCTTTAACTTTTCATTAAATTTGAAGTTTCTATCAGAATTACGACTAAATCTCTGCTAGCTGCTCTCGCTTGGAATGAAATTAACTGCGTCTCAGTGCTGCTGTTGTCCTTTAGTAGATCCATCTTCATCTAATAGGGTGAGTTGGGTGATGCGTCCCTGTGGCCTGTTTCACATTCCCGTGTTGTTTCTCAGGTGGCAGACTCAAATGGAGAGTTTTTCTTAAAGTCTTCTGAACTCTTTGAAAGTCCTGTGTACTTGGAAGAGGTCGCGGATGTCCTCTGCATTTTACAAGCAGGTAAAAAAGAAAAAATGTCATTTTGTTTGCAGGTACATTATAATAGCATTGCATTTAATGCAGCAACATTCAAAAACTAGAAAATGCATTTTCTGAAGAAACTGCAGTGTGAATGCTGATAGTTGAATGTTTTGAGCTGAGATGAAACAATTGCTGAACGTTAAGTTAAAAATGTTGAAATGCTGAATAGGGATGGGTATCGTTTAGGTTTTATCCAATACCAGTACCAAACCGGTACTTTTGAAACGGTGCCGGTGCTTAAACGGTGCTTAAAGAATGGAGAACACAAAATTGGTCCAAAAACCTCTCATGTTCAGCTGTTTTTTTGTAAAAAGATAACAATGTTAGCCTTTTCTGCAGCTATGGGGCATATATGGTCATCACTCTTGGCTGGAAGCAGTGCTTAAACAATGGAAAAAACACAAACTTTGTCCAAAAACCTCTCATGTTTAACTGTTTTCCACTTTTTCTTTGGTCATTTTAGCCTTTTTGGCCAGGGTGAAGGGAGTATCTGCCATCAAACAAGAGGACAGCCGCATGTAGCTATGATGATGTTTGCTAGTTCACCTTACATGCATTAATGTAATAACGTGGTTAGCCTACTCAACGTAAATTACACACGAACAACATTAAGCTACTCACGCAGAGAAGAACGGCTGCTGCATCATCATCATCCTCATCATTTCTGCTACACTGGCAGGGCTAGGGGCCAGGACTCTCCTCTTCGGGTTTTTGGGGGATGTTGCTAACTCCGGGTCCGATAACAGGCACCACACCCGCAGTAGATGTGCTCGGTGTGAGGTCTCGCAGCAAGCTATCAAATACGGCGCATTTCTCGGCTTTTAAAAAAAACGCTATGCGTCGCCAGGTGTTTCATCAGATTCGAGGTGTTACCTCCTTTGACAGTATCACAGTATCAGCTTAAAGCACTTGTTGCAGTGCTGAGTTTGCATCTTTTGCTGTGAAGTACAGCCAGACTTTTGACCGCTTCGCCTTGGGACATTTTTAATCTGTAGCTCTGCTCTAAAAGAACGTACGTACCTCGGCCCCGCCTACTATCCTCGGAAACGTAAAATGATTGGCTAGAATCCAAAGTGTATGACATGTGCCATCATGGCACCGGATACCGGTACCCATCCCTACAGCTGAAACATACTGAATAATTCACCTGAAAGATAAAGTGGAGAACTGTTGAAAGCTGAAGTTCACACAGAAGAAGTTTCAAAGTTTGAAAGTAGATGATGTTAAAATGTACATTAGAAAAAACTGAATAAATCTTTTTTTAGAAAAACAAAACATCTGAATGAATATTGAAGGTTCATATTCTTTTAATCACTGAATGACTGAAATGTGGGAGATTCAGCTACAGACAGGTAAAGGGTGTCAGTTCTAATAACACCTACCAGCTGGGGCTGGTAGGTGTGGAGCTTGCTACAGGGGTGCTACTCTACCCTGCGGAGAATGAATATGATTATCTGAAATTCATCATACAGACTCAGGGTCAGCCACCAGATGATGTTCTAGACTCTGGCATTTACACTGATGACTATTTCATTGAAGACTACTACAAGCAACAGCGCTGGACAGATAAGACTGACCAACAATTTCAGTACGAGACAGGATATCCATCCCTGGAGACTCGATACATAAAACTTAAACGTCTCGATGACCTCGAACAAATAATGAAGGTTAGACGAGGACCAGAAGATGGCCAAAGCTTATTTGTCAGCTTAATTAAAGAGATGTTGGCCTTGGATGCACACCAGCGCATAACACCCTTGGAGGTTCTCCGGCATCCCTTTTTCAACCCTGGCCTCTCTAACAGGTTCCCATGTATTGACATTTAGAGACCACACAGAATCTCCAGAAGGGAGAAACAAAAGTGTGGATCATTGGGTCAAGCTACATCAGACGAGGCGAGAGTGACGCAAAAGAGAGGAGAAACTTTCGGACTTAATGCCAACGTCCAGTGGTTTGGCAAAGGAGGGATGCGCTGGAGCGGAGTCCTTCCTCGTTTTTATGAGGAGCTATCCACACAGAGACCACCTGACATATTGGTAATCCATGCTTGGGGCAATGATTTGGGACTCATGTCTGCTTATCAACTTCTGTCATTGAGAAGGAATTGATGCAACTGCACACAGAGTTCCCTCAATGACAATTGTATATTCATCCATCAACGAGCGTCAGGTGGGAGATATGGAAATCCAGGCAAAATCAATAAGGACAGGCAGATCGTGAACGCCAGCATTAGAAAGGCTGCTGGAGTGATTATTGAGCATCCATGCTTGAGGTTTTTCAACAACTCCATTTTTTTACCCGACGGAGTTCATTTAAACAAGAAATGCACTGAAAAGCATCCGCTCGGCGTCTTCAGTCACCTCACAGAAAACTTTCCTTCACAGTCCAGAAAACCATATGTTGTTTATTTTAGGCAACATGAGCAACACATGGCTAAATTGTGCTCCCATTTTTCTTTTCTTTTGCCTCTCACCCCCCAACCAGCCATGACATATGGCTGCCCCTCCCTGAGCCTGGTTCTGTCAGAGGTCTCTTCCTGTTTAAAGGAAGTTTTCCCTTTCCACCGTTGCCTGGTGCTTGCTCTCATAGGGGATCATTTGATTGTTGAGCTTGAATTGAATTGGATTGAACAACATTTTAAACATTCAGGTGAGAGGTTCACGTTGTAGGGAGCACTACAAAATCTACAAATGAAAAAATTGTCATGAGCAGCAAATGAAAATAAAGAAAACAAATTTTGAAAAGCATCTCTTGCTGCTCTGTTGGCATGGCAAAGTGTTGAAAACATGCTGAAGCTCAAACACTAATTGTTTACAGCACTTTGTCATGTAGCTGATTTCTGCTTGAAGAGCAGTCTGCAGCCAGCCACTCCATCTCCTCACAGCCTTGTCTTTTTCTTGTAAAAGGCAGTGACTTGCTTTTTGATAAATACAAAATAACTGAAAAATCGAAATAATCCAAACAATAAATAATCCACTGCTCCCGAGAGTTCAGCAATAATGCAGCATATTTAAAATAACAAATATTTCTGTAAACATGTCTGAAAATAATCCGTTTCTTTGACTCTGCCGTCTGAAGTGTGTTTGGATTTTCTCCGTCTTAGAGCTGCCTTCGCTCCTGCCGATCGTGGATGTGGCCGAGGCTTTGCTTCACGTCCGCAATGGTGACTGGTTTCTGTGTCTGCTGGTTGCCAATGTTCCTGACAGCTTCAATGAAGGTAATTCATCTGTTGCACAACGCTGCACATTCTGTCAGCAGATAATGGAAAATAGAGTGGCTGATTAATTGACAGGAATAGTTGGATATAGTCAGTCAGTGTGGAGGAAACAGGACTTTACCTGAGATTACCTCCAAGGTTTCTCGCTTTATTAGAATTACACACTGATATCTACAACTATATGTGTTGTTCTTAATTCTGTTCACGGCAGTGGACCGAGAGTGCAGGCATTTGTCTTTGACTGATGATGAACATTATTATTATGTCATCCTGACTCCCCGAGAGCTCTTTGAGAGGCTCTCTGGAATAAAACACTCACTGTCTCCTTATCGCACAGAGTGTCAGAGCCATGTCAGGCGCAGATTTGTGCTGCGTAGCAGTGATCATCACAGATTCCTTTTGGCTTTGCTGCTGCAGTTACTCTTTCATTGACATGAAAGTGCAATGGATTCATCCTTGGATGAAGTGTTTGTAAGGTTTGCCATGTTAAACACCAGCTGGCAGCCAGACTTCACCCCGCCACCTCATCAATGGTGTATGAATGATCCAGGAGCAGCACAGATGGAAACTAATTCAATTTCAAAGCGTTGCCATAATGCCAGCTACCAAATTTACTTTTAAACAATATACAGTGGGAAAGTGAAGGACAAATATGCCAGAGAATTGATGTAATCATGGCTGTTGTGTATTGAAGGACATAACTGGGATCTGGAAGTATTCAGATTATACAGTGTTGAAAGTCTGCATACGTTTCTCCTCATTTGCTGTAAGGATATAGTAAGCAGAAAGTCCACAGTGTTTCAGCGTGCCTCTCTGTTGTTGCAGTGTGCAGAGGTCTGATTAAGAATGGAGAGCGTCAGGATGAGGAGAGCGTAGGTGGGCGGCGCAGGACTGAAGCGCTCCGGCAGCTATGTCAGATGAATCCCTCACAGGCTCTCAATATCCGGGCTATGGTGGTAGGTATACCGTTAGTATAATGGTGGGACTGAACTCACGCCAAAATCCCACTTTATTTACAGCATCCCAAAAGTCATTTATTTCAGATGAGAGATGAGTTCTCTCATCTAGTAGCTGCTCTTTTTCTACTCTGGATGCACATTTTCTGCAACATTCATTCTGCTGCCCTGTTTTATCCCATTAATTATGCATGTATTAAATAAAATTAATACTCGCACCAGCACATTTAGAGCATCTGCTCCTTTTTTATGAAGCGCTCTCCTGATTAAATGTTTGGATAGCACGACGGTTGTGTTTGCAGAAACATAGCCGCATTAAATATTGATTGTGATCTCAATATAATTATTTGCCGTTAAAACATATCTTCCATAATTTTGCAGTTTCTCTTGGTAACAAATTTAACGCGGCACCCCAGCAAAGCTCATCTGTTTCTCTGCCTCGCTAAACGTAGCCTGCTGGTAATGTAACAGTCATGCACAGATTTCAAGAATGAAAATCAGTTTGACAGACAAATGTTGTGCTTACACCACTTTGTTAAATGATGAATAATTTGTAAGCTGTAGACGTTTGTTTGCTTTTAGCTCCTAAACATCACTCTTTAGTTATTATAGACTTGACTAACGACTGGCTCTGCTGTGCAGGGAACTATTTTTCTCTGCTTAAATCAACTCACCTGATAGAGGGCAGTAAAAGTGATAGGATTTTGCTCTTTAGTCATTTATGTTGTGGTACTCTTAGTGACGCTGTCCCCGAGGGGGAGAAATGAGTCTTATTTCTATCGCTCATAGAGGTTAGAAGGTCGGCTATTGAACGAGGCAGAAGAAATTCATTGCCTTGCTGAATGATTCATTAGCAGAACTCGTACTTGGCTGGACTTTGTGGTCTCAAACAACAAGGTTTGGGAATTGGTGGGATTCAGTGCTGAAAACAATGTCTGGTGAAGGGCAGTAGAGCTCGCAACCAGCAAGGTCAAGCAACGCGTGATGTTAGAAAATAATGTCGAGAAACATTAATAGTAGGATGACGAGGAACAGTGAATTTAAACAACAATGATATTTCGTTTGCACAGAAAAAGAAGACGACACTAATACAGCAATGCAGGCTTGTATTAGAACGACACCCATATTGCTAGTTCCCCTTTTTTAATTTCCTTTATTTTCAAACCTTGTTTTGGCTCGTAATCACTCACTTAGCAAGACAGCTTCTTTGCTCATGTTTCCCCTCAGTAAGAAAAGGAGCTATACAGAGGTCTCGAACTCCAGTCCTCGAGGGCTCGAGGTCTTGCTAATGACCTTGCTAGGTCATTAGCAAGACTATAGAACTTGACTGCATGCTGAGGTGGTGACCCCTAACCCTGCTCAAGTAAATGTGTTTGGAACAATGTAATTCCAACAATGCTTTATTGCACCGTGTTCATTCAGTCATGAGCTGCTGTAACATGAATCAAATGGCTGAATTGCCACCTCAGCATGCAGTCAAGTTCTATAGAGTCTTGCTAATGACCTGCTAGTTGTATTCAGGTGTGTTGCCGCAGGGACACATGGAAAAGTTGCAGGACAGCGGCCCTCGAGGTCTGGAGTTCGAGACCCCTGAGCTATACCTTGGAGACGCGTGTCTTTGCAAAGACCGGGAGCACATCAGCCCATAGTGATAATCAAACAAACATAGACGTAGTCATTATGAAAGAACATGATTAATATTTGATAGAACAGGTGACGCTCTGTAATTGACTGTGGGTGCTCTGTGTGTTCCAGGTGGAGGAGTGTCACCTGCCTGGTTTGGGTGTGGCTCTCACTCTGGATTATAAACCAGATGCAGCAGATGAGGCAGTCAGTCCTCTTGTGTCTTATGTCAGCGGACTGCTGCTTGGCACCAATAGCAAAGTCCGTACGTGGTTCAGTATGTTCATTCGCAATGGACAACAGGTAAGGCCCCGGTTGACTCTCGTATTTCCTGACAACACATAAACAGTCACTCCTTTAGGTGCAAGAGGTGGACCACCCACAATGTCCTCAACATGCTGGATTGTTCCTGTGATGTTTTTAAAGAACAGACAGTAACACAAACACTCGCTGACATTCAAAATGAGATCCTGGTGGGAGTATCTTTCTTGTATTACTCGGTGTTCAGCGCTCCAGTTGGATTGCCCCAAATTTAAGCTAACATTCAAAATATCACAGCAGATATAAAGGAGATCACGAGTCTGGCTATCTGCTGGCATTTCTTGCAGTTTATGGAGCGCAGACACGCTTTAGTCAGCTTTTCACTGTAAATGTCATCATTTGTTTAAATTTCCCTTTCATAAAATGTTGGGGGGTTTTTAGGCGATAAAGCTCCCTCTGAGGAGGAACGGAGCTTCTGCTCGCCATTGGAGAAATGTCCTAAAATGTTCCTCAAGTTGCTGCTCATGCAACGAGTCAGTTAATGATCATAATTATCAGATTTGTAAATGAACTTGGGCAAACTTTTACCAAGGCCCAGCGGTGGAAGCATGAAAGTTAAATGGTGTCCTCTCCTCACTCGATCCTGCCAGCGTAAGAGGGAAAGCAGCTCAGTGCTGTGGCAAATGCGCAGACAGCTGCTGCTCGAGCTCGTTGCCATCCTGCCGCGTTCACGCAGCACCCATGTGCCCAATAATGGCGGCATGGAGGAGGAAGGAGGCTCGGGGTACTCTGGCCTCAGAGAGGAGCACGTGGTAAAGGCCAGCGCCCTGCTCCGACTGTACTGCGCCCTCATGGGTATTGCAGGTCTCAGGTGAGTCAAAGATCATGATAGCTTTTGTTACATTTGATTTTATAATCAGTATTTTATGTACTAGTTGTAACAATGTAACAATGTATTTTAATGGCTGTGTTTCCTTCCAGACCTACAGATGAGGAAGCAGAGCAACTACTGCAGCTGATGACCAGCCGGCCTCCTGCCACTCCTGCTGGCGTTCGGTTCGTCTCCTTGTCTTTCTGCAAACTGCTGGCCTTTCCTACTCTAGTCAGGTACATAAAGTTTATTGACTCTTACTTTTAGACGTCTTTGTTTTATTCTGCCAACACAAACAGGCCAGGGATCACAAGCTCTTTTTAGCTGCCGGTGGTCTTGAATTTTGATTTGCCCGCTGCTTACCAAAAAGCCCTGTCGGTGTTTTTTGGCATTAATAGTATTCTTTTCATATGTTGACTGAGCTTTATCCTCTGTGTGCCTGTGCAGCACTCCAGAGCAAGAACAACTGATGGTCATGTGGCTCAGCTGGATGATCAAAGAGGAGGAATACTTTGAAAGGTAACAATAAAAAGGCTTCATGGAGAACGCAAAAGATTAGAGAGTAAAATCCATCACAGGAAGCTGTCACATGTCAGAATTTATTGTGACACACACGTTATTGTACTGATTTTATATGTCGTAAGCTTTAAATGTTCATCACATCAGCTGTAATAGGATGTCTTTACAGAATTAGTCTATAATGCAACATAAACCCATGTGTGAAAGCATTTGTGGCACTTAGATCCTGATCCTGTCTCCTATACTGTGAAACATTATACACAGCTGCTGTTGGTGGTGACCTCCTTTCATATGAAGAATCAGCAGATTTGTTTTTAAAAAAATGTAATTTAATTTTCTTAAATTAATTTCAGGAAGTAGAGCCAGTACCATTCACCAAGTTCGGTGTCGGTAAAAGACAAAGGTGCTGAGCTCTTTACATGTCAGCTTCCTCGCCAGTTTTGATTGGTTGTAACTGGTGCTGACATTGACTGGTATATATCTGACATACATAGATAGCTGTATGGTGTCTTTTCTACTCCTGCCATCCATCTCAGGTATTATTTTTAAACAACCACAGCATACTTGTCCTAGAAATATGAATTGCTAACCAGCTACGGCTAAAACCAAAGCTGCTGTAGGCTTATCACAGATTTCTGTTTGGGCCCGTTCAGTGTCTTTTTCATAAGATCCAGGATAGTAGACATGGACATCAGAGGGGACTTTAAAGTCAAGAACCTCTTTTTGAAAATTGGACATTATTAGTCAGTTACATTAGTTATGTGCATCTCCAAGTTTGGCCCGTTGTTGTTGCTCCAGTGCTGATGATGCAAGTGACAAGGATCAGTGGATTCACGCTAATCGGTGTGCCGGATTTGAACATTTCTTTACATTAGGCTCTGATAGATTTCAGTGCCAGATGAAGAGGGACGAATAAGGAAGGGCAGATAATCTAAGGATGCCTATACACACTCTGTTTCCTTGCCCCTTGACCAAGTGACTAAGGAAACAAAAACCGTTCCCACAATGAACAAGAAGTTGAAAGTATTAAATCGTCTTTATGTGTTGAACTCGTTCCTTGGAGATTTGTTTTTCCTGTATGAAGTCTATGACCTGTTTCAGCACCTTCAGCATTGAATATGAATCCGTGTTTTTGTGACTCAAGTCCATAAACCATAAATCTGACAGGTTTGTCTGACTAACCTAAAGGCTGTGAGAGGAAGGTTCGGGTGTGTGTGGGTTGATGTAACGGTCATAATCACTTTTATTTAAATTCTGTCCTGCAACATGAAGGCTTAACGACAAACCTAAATGTCTTCTCTCACTTGCCTCTCCTGCATATGTGTTTGTCTTCCTCCTTAGCGCCGCAGGCGTATCTGCTTCTTTTGGAGAGATGCTATTACTGGTTGCCATGTATTTCCATAGCAACCAGCTCAGCTCCATTATTGAGTTGGTGTGCTCTACTTTGGGGATGAAGGTAAGGTGGTAGGTGGGAGGGAGGCAGTGATCAATACATCAGTCTGGCTGACCAGCCACTGGCCCCTCTCTTCTGCTGCAGCAGTGGTGCATATAAAGACTATATCACTAATGAAACATTTGCAGCATACACGTATCTAGCTAGCTGCTCTACACCCTGCAGCCAGTTTTCAGTGTTATTACTTATTAAGTGCACTATTGTTTCTTGTCTGTGTGCTAAGTAGTTTCCCCGTCTCACTGTATTTCCCACTACAGATGTGTAATGTAATTGGATTTAGAGCCTGTTTGTTTCCACCCCTAGGGCAATCCTCTCAATTCAGTGTTGTGCTTGCCATGTAGAATTTTTCTTATGAAATATGAAAAGAGGGAATTACAAAATAGCAGCGCTGCTGCCTACAGGCTGTTTTCACTCACAGCGAGCCTGCCACTCTGGATGTTTTTTTATAGTTTTTGTGTAATTCCTGCAGATTGCCATCAAGCCCAGCTCACTGAGCAAGATGAAGACCATCTTCACACAGGAGATCTTCACTGAACAGGTGTGTATGTATATTACAAGTCCATCATTGTGTATTGTTACTGGGCAACCACCGTTTTTGTCAGTGATTTGATTTAGATCTCTGACTCAACACCTCCATCCTTTCAGGTTTCACTGTTTACTATCAGACCAATGGGGGGGGATGATTTGCTGCTGAAACCTTTTTCATAGGAAGCAAAGAAAGTTTTGACTTTGATATCTTTAGGTTATTACTGCTTGACGTTGGCAAACTGTCACGGTGCATAACAGAGTTTTCACACCAGTATAGACTATTAGCATCACACACATCTGTCTGTGTCATGGGGTAAGCTTCTTAAACAGTGTTATAAGAGAGATCGGACACCTCATGAGTCTTGAACCAGTAAATCCCATAATGGCAACGATGGTTGGATAGTTTTAACCCTATTTTGTAGCAAACTTTTTTTAAACTGTTTGTTCAGATTCAATTTGATATTAAAGTTAGGCGCTACTTTTGGCTGCTCCCTTATTTTCCAAGGATCGGCATATTTGATTTGGCACACATTTGATGCCCTTTGCCCTTTCTGATGCTGCCCGCCCATTTATCTGGCATTGGGACTAGGAGTGCGCTTGGCTGGGGTTTATCTCCTAACAGAATTAAATTTACCATCATTCACATATATGGTGAATGTGTTACCACTGCACCACGGAGCAACTATATTATTTCGATAATGATTCAAAACATAAACACTTGGCCAAAGATGATGGTTGGGCCCATGCTGCTGGTATAGAAGTAAATTTTCCTGTCCAGGAGCTACAAAAGAAATGTGGCACAAATGTTTATAGTCTTTACATTTCTGAACTGCTAACAACAGTTGTGTGACTTTGGCTGTGCAGGTGGTTACAGCTCATGCAGTTAGGGTTGCAGTGACCAACAACCTAAGTGCCAACATCACAGGATTTCTTCCCATTCACTGCATCTACCAGCTGCTTCGGAGCCGAGCCTTCACCAAGCACAAAGTGTCTATTAAGGTAATGCACACGTTATGCTGATTGTGACTATTGCGTAACTTTGTACTACTGCACAGCTGTTTGAAACTGTGTTGTTGCCTTTGTGTGCACCTTCTAGGACTGGATCTATCGCCAACTCTGTGAGACGACAACACCCATCCACACCCAACTTATTCCCCTAATTGATGCTTATATCAACTCCATCCTTACTCCAGCTTCCAAGGCAAACCCAGAGGCCACCAACCAGCCAATCACAGAGCAGGAAATCCTCATTGTCTTCCTGAGCTCTGCAGGAGTAAGTCGCTTCCGAAGCTAAATCCGCACCCTTACAAAACACCAGTGCAGTGCATTTGATGGGTTATTGTTAATTTTGTTTGAAACATAATCACACTTTCATAATCCATAATTTTGCTCACTTTGATCTTCGTAGTTTGGAAATAGGTTTGTAACCGTTATATCCACGTTTGCTGGTGATCTCTTTAGCAAGCGGATGGTAGTCGAGCAGGACGGCAGCGCTACTCTATAACCACCCAACTGCTTATCCTGTACTACATCCTGTCTTATGAGGAGAACCTGTTGGCTAGCACCAAACAGCTGGGTATGTATGAGGCTGTTTCCCAACAAAAACACTGCGATGTGTTTGGCTTCCCTTTGTGCTCTTGGCTCACCTCCCTCCTGCTTCTCATTTTCTCTTTCTGTGCCTGTCTGAATTGCATCCTTTGTCATTTTCCTCACTGAAGAATGCATTGTGTGGATGATGAAGGGAATTTGTCAGCAAGTGAGAAGAAAAAGGAACCTTTTGTCCTCTGTTAAGTTGTAGGAGATGCTCTGGATGTGCAGTCATTCATCCTTTTCTCTCTTGGCACTGAATGTTGGCTGCTTCTATCGAGAAAAAATGGTTGGCTGACAAAGAGCCAAGTACAATGGCTGCGGGAGCAAAGCTAACTAGGACAGCTGTAGGTTAGATTGAGCATTAGCAGTTAGCCTAGTCAGTGTTTATTCTCTCCCGTGACGAGCTCTCCTCTTGCCCTTCATTAGGCCAGATTTATGTGAGAGTTTATGCCCATCTCTTTAATTGCTGTGTTTACCCAAGTGCTCTCTCAGCCTTCAAGGAAGGAGTAATGAAGCCCATCAGCAGTGGTAATGAACCCACGTCAATGAAAAATCACCTCAGCTTCTCGAACGCATCGGCACAGCGGCTCTGGTGTCCTCACACAATCAAATGAAACATTTATCCTCCATCTCGTCCTTATTTTGCTTCACATTTTCACTCTGTTTAGTATTTAATTCAGTATAGTTTCTGTGATCCACTCACTCGTCCTGTTTTCCTCTTTTTCTGTTTTTTTTTTTTAAGCCCTGATGCAGAAGAAGCCAAAATCCTACTCTGCAGCCCTGATGGACCAGATCCCCATTAAGTACTTAGTTACCCAGGCCCAAGGGCTGCAGCAGGAACTCGGGGGTGAGAGTCACTTTTGGCTTTTTCTTACTAAACACATGGAGAAAAACCCCCAAAAGGTAAAAATTATTTGATTATTGTAGACTTGAACGCAGTTTCTTCACTGATCCCAGGTCTGCATTCGGCCCTACTGAGACTGCTTGCAACCAACTACCCACATTTATGCCTTGTGGAGGACTGGGTGTGTGCGGAGGAGGTGACCGGTACCCTGCCCCTGTTGAGGAAGATGATGCTTCCCAGCAACACCTGTAGATACACCCAGAGACAGCTTCACCAGGGTGAGCACAGGAAATTTAAGATGTAGCTGCTGAATTTAAGTTAAAAATATTAAGAGAGAAACATTTTAAAGTAATAAAAACCCAGACAGATGATTGATGGCTTTACTAGCACCACTGACGCTAATCTAGACGTTACAGTTGGGCGAGTGAAATGCCAGATTATCTGTCTTAGGTTGCAATAAAATCATTTATCAATCTGTAATCTTTGTGGTTAATCTTTTATGCTGTGTTGATCCTACAACTGCTTGAAGGATCAACAGTTTCAATAGATGTAGGTGGTGCTGCACGACAAACCGCAGAGAGCTGGCGTCTCGTTTATTTGGCCTCTGTCATGTGGTGTTCTTGTGTTTCTCTGATCTTCATTGTAGTAGTTTAAAAGAAAGTTGTTTGAACTGAGTGATGGTTACATACTTGAGTGTTGCGGAGCCTGTCTCTTAACCTGAACAGCTTACTCCATTTGTATGGCGCTATCTTTGTGCCACTATTCTGAGCGCATGTAAAAAAAAGTTTGCATGTGCAAGTGTTGTATTTTGAGGAGAAATTTATTTTGAGCAAAGAAAAGCTGAACTTGAGTGAACAAAATCCATTGCTGCGTGCAAAAACTGTATTTCAGTGTTTGCTATTATCCACACACACACACCAGCAGCCCCTCTCGCTCAGTTTTTGCATTTGCGCTCGCTCGCAATGTGTTGCTCGC